ATTTTTAACTTTTAAAAAGGTTTTATTTTTAACTTTACAAGCAATTTGTAGCTATATTTGAGTAATGGGTAACCTTGAGTTTATTTTAGTTATTTGGCACTGCATTTTAATATTACTAACCTCATTTGGAAAGTTTAGTAGTTTTGAATTCTTGTCATAATGTTTTAGATCATGTAACTAAAGATATCTTTGTTTTAATTTTCAGAATTGGTTTTATACCTTGGAATGTTGAAACAGAAGTTCTTCCTCTCATCACGTCTGTGTTGCCGAGGACTATTTTTCCAAGTACCATGTCATTAGAAAATTTTGGTAAAGTTTCTGGGTTTTTAATTAAAAACATTTTTTTAGACAGGGTCTCCCTGTAGTTCCAGCTGGCCTACAACTTGCTATGTAGACTAGGCTGGCCTAGATCTGGCAGATCTCCCCTACCTCTGCCTCCTGAGTCCTAGGATTACAGGTGTGCACCACTGCTATGCTCAGCCAGTTAGCTTAATTTTCTAACTAAAAGCATTGCTTCACAATTTGAGCACTTGACGAACTGACTACAAGTCTTTCTGTGCAGGGCACATCTTAAAGGCTGCCTTTTCACCGTTTTCAGGTATGCCTCATAAGGAGTGTGCGTTAGCACGTACCCACGGAGGAGAAGAGAAAAAGCAGACCTCTGGTACATCAAATACCAGAGGATCAAGGCGGAAACCTGCAACAACTACTCCTACAAGGAGATCCACACGCACCACAAGAGCTGAGACACTCAGTCAGTCTCAGAAGGCCCCAGTGTCAAATAATTCCGGGTCTGATGCCCCGGGTAACAGTGCTCCTTCTGTAAGTGTTTCCCCTCCATCCGAATTAGAAAAGCAAACAAGACAGGCACCAAAACGGAAGTCTATAAGGAGAGGAGGAAAAGCACCCTTATTGAAAAAGAGACTTCGGAGACCTGTGCCCACACCTGAAAAGACATCGTCTAGTGAGTCAACAGTAGAGGAAGAAGCAGCAGATTCTGATGCACCCCCTGTGTTAGAGAAGGAGCAGCAATCCGACGTAGAAAGCACAGACATTTGCTCTGTGCAGACAGATGTGGAAAACCATTTGGTTAATTCTTTAAACAGTTGCAGTGAACAAACTAGAGAAAATGAGGAAAATAGCAAAAATCATGATACAGAGGAACAAGTGGAATTTTCCTGTTCTGAGTCTTGTACTCAGGAACCCCCTGTGATAGTTGGGGAGGAGGAAAATCAAACTCTCGAGGATACAGGTGCAGAAGCTAAAATTGTATGTATAGAAAGTGAGGTTTCTCAAGAGACTTTTGTAAAAGGAAGCGATCCACTAGACAGTTCAGACCACGCACCTGCGTCTTCAGAGTCAGAGGTGAAGACACTTGCATGTGCAGATTGTCCTCCAGGTGACCTTATTACAAGGTCAGCCTCTGATGTGGAAGGACACCAACCAGTGTGCCTCAGTCAACTAGGTGAGGTATCCGAAGATGCAGAGTCAGTGGTTAATGAAGAAAAAACAATGCAAAGTCTTCAGGTAGAAAGTACTGATAATAAAGAATCTGCAGCAAAAATAGAAGTACTTATAGCGAGCCCCAAGTTACACTCTTCTGAGGGTGAAATTGTACACACAGTGGACAGAAGTTGTATTGAGAGTGCAGAGATTCAGTCACCTAAGCACATTGAAACTGAAAATGCAGAAGTAACACCAACATGTGACGCTTCAGAAAATGAAAGTCTCAGTAATCAAGAATGTGAGCATAATTTATTAAAAAATAATCTTGACAACACCCAGTTAGGTACATCTCTTGAAGAAAAGACAGGATCTCTGATTGATCATCCCATACCTATAGAGTTGCCTTCCACACAGAGTGAACAGAGTGAGAAGCATGTTAGTGAAGATAATAATGAAACAATTCCTATGGAGTGTGATTCATTTTGTAGTGACCAGAATGAGTCTGAAGTTGAATCATCTGTAAATGCTGATGCTAAACAGTTGAATGAAAATGATGTGGCACATAGTAATGAAAATAAGTCGTCTTCTGATCCTACAGATGAGAAGGTTGAAACTGTATCTCAGTCAACTGAAAGTCCAGTGGGTATGACAGATAAAGGCAAAAAGCCTCGTACTCGAAGATCTAGATTTCATTCTCCATCTACAACTTGGTCCCCCAACAAAGACGCTACAGAGGAAAAGAAGCGGTCTCAGTCTCCATCTCCCAAGAGAGGAACTGGAGTAGAAAGCAAGACATCTCGGTCTCCTTCACCTAAGAAAGAATCTGCTAGAGGACGGAGAAAGTCTCGTTCTCTGTCACCAAGAAAGGATGTGTTACGAGAACGTAGGCACTCCCAGTCTCGGTCTCCAAAGAGAGAGAGTTCGAGGGAAGCCAAAAGATCTGAGTCACAGTCTCCACGGAGAGATCCTTCGAGAGAGAACCGGAGATCTCAATCAAGAGTGAAAGATTCTTCCTCAAGAGAAAAATCTAGGTCCCGGAGCCGAGAGAGAGAAAATGATAGAGATGGGCCGAGGAGAGATCGAGACAGAGAACGAAGAGCCAGAAGGTGGTCACGGTCTAGATCTCGTTCTCGATCCCCATCAAGATCGAGAACAAAAAGTAAGACTTCATCATTCAGTAGAAATGAAAGAGATCATCACTCTCCTCGGTGGAAGGAGAGATGGACAAATGACGGTTGGCGGTGTCCACGAGGGAACGATCGGTACCGAAGGACTGACTCAGAGAAACAGGACGAAAATATGAGAAAGGGAAAAAGTGACAGTGCGGACACTAATGCTCCAAACTCTTCTGACAAGCATAGAAATGACTGTCCCAGTTGGGTAACAGAAAAAATAAATTCTGGGCCAGATCCAAGGACCAGAAATCCAGAAAAGTTAAAAGATTCCCACTGGGAAGAAAACAGAAATGAAAATTCAGGGAATTCTTGGAGTAAGAACTTTGGCTCGGGTTGGATGTCTAACCGTGGTAGAGGCACCCGTGGCAGAGGCACTTACGGAGGTAGTTTTGCTTTTGCTGATCAGAGTGAAAATAGGTGGCAAAACCGGAAACCCCTCTCAGGGAATTCTAATAGTCCAGGGAATGACTCTCTGAAATTTATGGAACAGCAACCCTATAAGCGGAAAAGTGAGCAAGAGTTCACCTTTGATACGCCAGCAGATCGGTCAGGGTGGACATCTGCGTCCAGCTGGGCTGTGAGAAAGACTCTGCCAGCAGATGTGCAAAACTACTATTCCCGGCGCGGGAGGAATGCTTCAGGTCCGCAGTCTGCATGGATGAGACAGGAGGAAACACCTGAACAGGGTAACACATTTTCTGCCTGTTTATTAGTTTAACTAGAGGAAAGAACTTAGGAATATAATTGCTTGCTGAAGTGAAATGATCCTGAATTTAGAGTTGTCAAACCAAATTCGTTATTACAAGTCAGACTGTGTAAATACATATGTAAATTAATACTGTTTCTTTATCCCTTCTCTAAATTTCACCAAAGACTTAAATATTTTATGTGCTGTTGGCTGTAGTAGTTTGGAATGTTGTTATGCAGAATTTAACTACTGTTTATTTTAGATGTGCATATTGATCATTGTTCTCAAACATTGTCTTCTAATAAGTTTTTTTCTTTAGCTTAAACTAGTTTCTTTTTTAATATTATTTTTACTCATATGAGTGTATTGCCTGCATGTATGTAAGTGCACCCATGTCTTGCTATGCCTGAGGGATCAGAAGAGGGCATTGGCTTCTCCTGGGACTGAAGGTATGGATGGTTGTTAGCTGCCACGTAGGTTCTGGGACTTGAACTTGGGTCCTCTGCAAGAGCAGCTGGTATCTTAATCACTGAGCCATCTCTCCAGCCCTTTAAGCTAGTTTCTTGAATTACTTATTATTTGTTAATTTTGAAATTTTTGTTTTTTTAAATGTAAGACTGGGTCTTTTGGGGGCTGGAGAGATGGCTCAGTGGTTAAGAGCACTGAGCCAAAACTTTTGATTGTGCTATGACCAGTGGTTCTTTGCTTCTGTGTTTAAAGAGAGGCATAATATTTTTTTTCACAAGCTTTTTTTCTTTTGATAGATTCTAACTTAAAAGACCAAACAAACCAAGTTGATGGTTCTCAGCTACCTGTAAATATGATGCAACCACAGATGAATATAATTCAGCAACAAATGACTGCACAACCTCAGCCTATGAATATCTACCCATATCCAGTGGGTGTTCATGCCCCTTTGATGAACATGCAACGCAGTCCATTTCCGATGCATCCTCAGCTCCCTTTGCATCTCCACCCAGGAATGCCTCTCATGCAGGTAGCTCCTCCTACCGTAACTCAGGGACTGCCGCCACCACCACCCCCTCCCCCACCGTCCCAACAGGTCAGCTACATTGCTTCACAACCAGATGGAAAACAGTTGCAGGTACGTTTTGTGGCAGCTTGAGTTAATCAAATATAATTTACTTATTAGGGGCAAGAGTTTAAGAAAAGACCTCCTGACATCAAGAAACAACGGCTTATTTGATTATATTTATGGCAAATTCCTCATAATCCCCTTTTCATTATTGTCTTACCACCATTCCCATTCCCAAACAGGAAAATTGGTTGAAAATATATTACTACGTATAAGTTACATACATGCCATTATTCATATATAGTAGTTTTTTTTTGTTGTTGAAAAATTAATGAATTCAGGTTAGAATTAGGTCGAGTGCACTTTAAAATTTTTCTCTATTTTATTGGACTTAACAGGAGCAATGTGGTTGGGAACTAGTCTAAATTACTATAATGAGGCTTGTATTGTCTTGGTTGGATAGACCCTAGATAAAGACATTCATTATCCGTTACCATCTATTTCATTTTTGTTTTGAGTTTACCATGCGAAGAGAAATGAATCCTTGTGTTTGAAAACTTGCTAAAATTTCTTTGGCGGGGGGGATCTTTTTTTTTGAGACAGGGTTTCCCTTTAGCCCCAGCTGGCTTGGGTCTCACTAGTAGACCAGGTTGGCCTTGAATTCACAGAGGTCCGTCTCCCAAGTGCGGGGACTAAAGGTGTACACCACCGTGCCCGGCAGGAAACTTAATAATTTTTAAACGTTGTGTTGCTTGTAGTTTTGCCTACACTTTTTAGAAACTCTAGAATCCTGTCAATGTCATTAGGAAATGGGATTTTAGAATTTGGATTCCTTCCTTTTTTCTGCTATTAACTCACTCAGTACAAGCCATCTGTCAAGGCCTTATTTCCTCCAGTCTTAGAAGTGAATGACTTAATTTTGTTGCATTTCTAAGGCCTTACAAAAGAGAATTCTTTTTCTTCTCAATTGTGCTAAGAGAATATTGCCATCCGCCTGTAATTTATTAGTATTTATTTTTGTCGTGTATGGTTGAAGAGTGTGTGAGTACAGATACACATGTGCCATAACACACATGTAGAAGGCATGGGCAACTTTTAGGAGCTGATTCTTTCTACCATGTACTTTCCAGCGATCAAACTCAGATCGACAGGCTTGTGTGGCAAGCACTTGCACTCACTGAGCCATCTCACTAGCTAATTTAAAAGTCGTTTGACATTTAAGAATATATTTGTCTTCAACTCACTCGTTTTGTATAAATGTCTCAAAATGTGTACTTAAGTATAAGTTTGAATCACTGTTTTTTAATGTTATTTCCAATATGTAACAAGAAGATTTGAGTACAATCAATCCATTAACTGATGGTAACTCTTTAAAACAGGGTGTTCCTACTGCTTCTCATGTAAGTAGTAACATGAGCACACCAGTGTTGCCTGCCCCGACAGCAGCCCCAGGAAACGCAGGAGCAGTTCAGGGACCAAGTTCTGGTAATACTTCGTCATCAAGTCTCATCCAGGCCTCTAATGCTGCTGTAAAATTGGCAGAAAGCAAAGTAAGTGTTAGAGTGGAAGCCAGCGCAGATAGCTCGAGGACAGACAAGGCAAGTCCAAGGTTGGGCGCAACCTGCGTAACTGTATGTGTGTATGGTAAAGATGAAACACTGTCAGCTTTCAATGGTATGAGAGGTGGAGGGAATTTATTATTTGGGAGCCTTAAATTTCAGTATGAAGTTTTCTGTCGCTGTGCTGTTGATGCCTAATGAGTTTATTGATAATATTGCATAATTATTTTTTAAAATGTGTGATGTATATATCAGTAAGCAAATATTTTGGGTTTTGTCATACTTAATTTGAATAAGTTTCTTATGTCAAGATGCAGTGTTTTCAGTTTCATAGTTTTTAAAGAAAGTTTTGAAAGTATATGACTGGTAAATAATAATTACACATTTTCTTTTCATCAGAAATTACAAATTCAAGAAAAAGCAGCACAGGAGGTAAAATTGGCTATTAAGCCGTTTTACCAAAATAAAGATATCACCAAGGAGGAGTATAAAGAGATTGTACGGAAAGCAGTAGATAAAGTAAGTGACAGCTCTCATGGAGTTCTGTGCGTGTTATTTTTAAGCCTGTGTTCTAACAAAGAAATGCTTAAGTGCAGTAAAAGCTAGCTCCTGCTTACTCTTGTCTACTCTTTTACCTTTTGAATAAGGTCATGTGCAATGAGCCCATGAAAATCAGTCTCGCTGTCTTTGGGATTATGTTTGCACAGAGCTATCCACTTGGTGTTAAGCATGAAAAAACCTCCCCCCCCTTTCTTCCCCTTAGGTCTGTCATAGTAGGAGTGGAGAAGTAAATTCTACTAAAGTGGCAAATCTGGTTAAAGCCTATGTAGACAAATACAAATACTCACGGAAGGGGAGCCAGAAGAAAACTCTGGAAGAGCCTGTGTCTACGGAGAAAAATACAGGCTGAAATGGGGAGTGCTGTAAAGGACTTGGTCAAGATACCTGCAAAGTGCAATTTCAACTTGTACCGTTAACTGAAAATCATACAGAACTGTGATTGAAACTTGGTTTTGATAAAATTATTTTTTTTACTGTAGGATATAATGTTTTGTTCTAAATATAGCTGTGCACTGCAACTTCTATATCTAACCCCCGCCCTCAATAAAGCAAATTCAAGGGAAAATCAAGGGTGTAATGGAATGTGCATTTATATTAGGAATATGTTACAGTGTGAATACTGAAAGATACATAGCTTTTTAAGTAGGACAATGGAATACGTAAATTAGAAACTAAAAGCACTGGTTTTGGAACACACACATATCTATGTATAATGCATTTATTCTGTAAGGCTAAAAAATAAAGTATGATCTTTGATTTTTTCCCCTCTAATTATAGAAAGTTAAATAATTATTACCATTAAAATATTTCTGGTATTAATAGAACAAATCTATTGCAGGGTCTCTAATGTGTATTTTTAAATCACATGTCTGAAATAAGTTGCCTAGGTAGAAAGAAAATTATCACAAGTGCGAGGTGGTGCTCAGTCTTGAAGACACCGTCACCTGTTGTGTCAGCACACGGAGGCCATGCTGCTTGTTTTTGTTTTGTGCCTTTCCCTACCCCAGCAGTGTGATTGTTAAGACGACAGCTTTTATACTTTGAAGTCCTGGTTGAAATCAGAAGACCAATTTAGGGTGAAAAAATCTGGCTTTTAAGAGATGATCTTCTTTCATAATGCCATCTGCCATCAGTGATGGTGAGTCATTTGTGCCAACTGGGGAATTGCTGTTAGGTGGTGACCTTCCTTTCATTGGGACTGAGGCAGAATGCTAAGGCCTGCCTCACTGTCTTCAGTCCCCAGGGGATTCTTTTCACACTGGTCTCCAGATGCTTTATAGTGAACAAAGTGTTGGTTTGGTGGCCATTAGCCATGTTGCAGAATTTTATATATTAAAACTTGTGTTTGACAAACAGAAGAAAGTTAAGTAATCACGTCTGTATCAGGACTAGATGTATTTTCTTTTGCTTTGTTTTTAAGTGCTGAGTATATTACTGTTTACGAAAGGTAAGTTTGAAGTGTGTGTGGTACTGTTGTTTTAGTAGGTATCTGGAAGGACAAAGTAGCCCTTTCTGTGATAAGGTTTTCAGTATTGATTTTCAGTAGCCATGACATAGCTGAAAGGTGTTGAGATGATATGAGAGTGGATCCAAGGTAAATACTTGCCTTGGTCAGGCTGACCTGCTCACTGCGAGACCAGCACTCATGTAAGGTTGTGCTTTTCTGAAGTCAAGAACTGTCTTGTCAATGTTTGCTGCATAATACGTTCCTGGTGCCAGCTTTGATTGGCAAAATCCTTTTAAATGTTAGCCCCATGGTGATTGCACATGGTCGTTGATGAGCTTCATCAGTTAATGATTGCTGTCCTAAAATATTTCCAAACAGTTTTTGATCCCCATTTTACACTTCTGGGCATTTTTTGCACACAGTTTTACTGACATACTTTGAATTAAAGTTTATGTTTAGATCATGATGTCAAAAGAAGTTTGGGTGTTTCTTCTGATAAAATGCTAAGATGGTGTTTGCCGTACCTCCCGCACACCTCCTCTCCCACACACCTCCCTGGTTCAGTTCTGAATCCATGACGTGGTATAAACTTGCCTGTTTGAGTAAAGCCTGGTTCATCCTTCGGAGTTTTTGTGATGACTTGCTGTTTCTGCGCTAACTACTCCTGCAGCAACATACTTTCCTGATTTTTTTTTCACAGATGCTTGGAAAGTCGATGACATTTAAAAGTTGTTTCTCCCATTTTGCTTTTTGCAAACAAGCTTTAAAGCTTAGAAATAACTAGGTGATAGGGCAAAGAGCCCCATGTCTTTGGCAGAGCCCACCATTCCTGAAAGTTGCAAATGTGTCCCCATACCTGGTAGGGCACTGGCTCAAACTGCTTTCAAATAGTGGCTGTTACTGGATTAAAGTTTTAAAGAATGAATTAGAAAATGCATGCTTTGTGTTAAAAAATACATTGCTTTTACATTCTTGTTTTTTTTTTTTTTCCTCAGAAATTCACATTAGTTTTGCATGTATATAAAATTAACCCCAAACAGTTTATGGAGGTGCAGCTTTCTCGTCACTCAGTGTTGACTTGACCTTTGGAGCCTTGTTACCTCCGACTTGCTGTTCACAGTGACCCATGTTTTAGGCTGGAGAGATGCCTAACAGTAGTTACTCATCATGTCAACATTCCAGAAGTTTTGTAATTTGTTGTTATGGTAATTATCACACTTTCTCCACTATCTTCTTTAAGTGGCTGCAGTGTACTGCAGGCTGTCCATCCAAAAAATACGGCTCCAGGCGCACAGTGGCTGCACAGGTTGAGGCATCGTGTTGTGAGGTTGGAGTGCTGTCTGCTGAAAACAGTACCTTAAACAGGAATGTGGTGTGTGATATTTTCTAATAAATTCCTTTGGTAAACAAAGTAGTGTCTTTAAAATTTTATTGTTTTCTGGGAAGTGCTGACTTTTATATCGTTATAGCCCTTTCCAGACGTGCTGAATTGTTTCTTGGATTTGTACCAAAGTAATTAGCATCATGATTACATTAATGTCCAGGCTGTAAAACAGGCTCAGAGCTAGCTATAAGCATATATTTTAATATTTTTTCTAATAATATAGTCATTGTAGGAAATTAGAAATAAAAATGTTAGTAATTTCTAAAGAGGGAAGGAACTGAGAAAGGAGGAGAATCGTTTGTGATCCCCATAAGGTAACAGCTTCCAATGCTGACTACGCTGCGCATAGCTGTGTTGTAACCTATTTTCAATTACTGTGTTGAATATTCCATTTTAATAAAAATTAATTCAACAGTGTGGTTTGATGACTGTATAGTATTCTATTACACCGACATACTCAATCCTTTACTATTGGATAGTAAGTTGTTTTTACAAATACAAACAAGTAAATTAGTGAAGTACAAAGTTTAACATAAAAGTGTTTATAGCCAGGTGTGGTGATGCACAGCTTTGATCCCAGGACTTGGGAGGTGGAGGAAAGAGGATCAGGAGTTCAGGATGTGGAGGAAAGAGTAACAGAGTTCAGGCCAGCTTGGGTTACATGACTCTGAAAAACAGAAACATAAAAACAACCCAAGATGTTTATATGGCAATATCTTTATGCCTATTTTGGATTGTTATTTGTGAATAATCCCTTGAAGAGCAGTATCAGTTATTTCACACACATAGAAAAATTATAAACTTGTATAATCTTAGAAAATTGTTTGCCTCGACCTCAGGTAGATCTGCCTGTCCCTGCCTCCCGAGTACTGGAATTAAAGGTATGTACCATCACTCCTGTGTCAGAGTTGTTAAGGCTATGGGGGAAGTAGACTTCCTCGTGCTTCCATTAGTGTTTGATTCTACTCTGGATTGTTCTGTCTCTGGACCCTGTTTACAGATTGCAGGTACATTTTAATGTCTGTATATTCGAATGTACCGAACAGCTTATGTCACTGCTCTTACTGCAGCATTATGTGTAGGTAGTGTTTGTTAAAAGCAGTGCTTTAATGAACACATTTTGTGACTTGCCACTATAACTTTTTGCATACTAGGTTGCATTGAATTTCAGGATATTCACATAAATTTGTATAAATATTGATAATTTGTTCTCGGAAGGAGTTTGTTTAAACCTACCCTATGTTTGCAGTTTATTTAAAAAATTTTAAATACAGGGTTTTTTATTTTCTGAGAATTTCATACGTGAATTGTATTTGCGTTCATTTCTACTGCACTGTCCCTTCCACCTCCTCCCATGTTCTCCACCTCGCCTCATAATTTGTTGTTCCATAAACATTCACACACTTGTAAATATACATACATATATAAATATATATATATATATATAAATACAAATGCATTGAGTCCATTTAGTAGTGCTCATGTGTACGTGTGTTTAGAGCTCCCTGGAGAACACTGGTTCTCCTTTAGCGTCCCTTGATTGCCTGGAGCTCTTCATCCTGAGGTGGCACCTCACAAAATTTCCCCATTCACCTTGACATGTCACCTGTTTTTGTCATCATGCAGACCTTAGAGCACCATACTGGGAGTTTCATGGGTGCCGCTTCCCCATCATGTCTAGAAAGCAGTAACTAGCAGCAGGTGTCGTGTCCCGCTGATGCTTACAATCTTTCCATCCTTTGATGCTTCCTGAGCCTTAGGTACAGTCTGTCTTCAGTTCTACTTTTGATGTTGGTACTGAGCCTAATTCTTACTCATAAGATCTTAATTTTAGACATTCTAATGCACTTGGGAGGTAGAAGCAGACAAATCTCAGTGAATTCCAGGCCAGCCTAGTCTATACAGTGAGACCATATCTAAACAAAAACTACACAAAGTATATAGTCTTAATGAACATTCAGTTATTCATCAAAATGGACCCCACCTACTGTGTCAGGAATGCTTTGGTTCCTCACGCGGTGTGAAACGTGCTGTGAAACGTGGTTGTACCTCTTCTATAATGCAGTGATAGCTTACTCACTGAGCTTTCAGTATGCCAGTCTGAAACATTTTGTGAACCTCTTGATTTATACAGCAAATGATGTATCCAGATGAACTGCTCATCTAATTTCACAACTACTTACTGATGGGACCAAGATTCAGATCTAGGATTGGTAGACATCAAAGTCCATGCTTTACTGAGGGTATTACATAGATAGAGTTCATATTTGTAAATATCAGTATAGTGACAGGAAGAATAGCTCTAACAGTGAATGAAATAGAAGAGAATACATTTTGCAGTGAGGAAGATGTGTTTATCATGCCTAGTTGTGTCCTTTTTCCATTATTAAAAATCTTTCGTTGGGGCTGGATATTTGCCCTGGGACTTCGCACGTGCTAGGCAAGTGCTTTACCAGTGAGCCACATCCCGGCCCTAATACTTTGCATTTTTACCTTTTAATAATACTTCCCATAATTACTGTCTCAGAGGTATTAAACCTTCAATCTTGAAGTCATCTCTTATTTTTAAAGCTCTATCACTAACTTCCCTAAAAAGTTTACATGGAAATCCAGTCAGAATTAACACGCTACTATCTCCTTGAAATCAGCAAGATTGTGTATGGATTCCAAGTAGACCACAGGACTATGCTGTCCTGTGCCCTAGGAATTCTCTGCCACTGACCAAGTAATGGGCAAAAGGACTATTCAAATTTCCTTCCCTGTGGCTTGAAGTGACCTCCACTGGCACCTGTCTCCCTCATCCCCAGAGTCACTCTCCCCTTAGGTTTGGCCTTGTACAGGGTGGTCTTGTCTCCATCAGCGTCACCATTTCTCCATGACCTTGCAGCTGTGTTATTTACAGAAGCAAGCTTATTAGATAAGGACCCAATTTCTTGGTCACAGACATTGCACAAGCAGAGCCCTCAAATCATTCCTTTGAGGTGGTGTCCTCACGCGGGCCTTTGACGTTTGGTAGGTGTTTAACGAACTCTGCTCCCACCTGTTTTGGATTGCAGTTTTTCCTCATGTAGCGAGTATTCCTTTGCAACAACCTTCTTTTGTTTCCACATGACATCTTCCAGTCGTCTGTTTGATTCAGTATACACCAGTTCAGCTTAGACACCAAAGACTGGTCATCCTGTGTGTTGTACATGGGCAGAGTGAGCAAGACAGCCTCCATGGTTAGGTGGTACAGTGGGGGAAATAGGCACATGGTATGTACCTGGTGTGTGTTTAAAGGGGAGGATATGAAATGCTGCAATTGCTGGTGGATTAATGGACCTGAGAGTGGGCAAGTCCCTGCAGATGGCCTTTTAATCCAAACAGAAGATGACGAGACAGACTGGATGAGCCAGAGCCAGTAGCAGGTGCAGAGAATTGGCTTTCAAAGTTGCTGAATCAAAGTGATCAGCTTTACAAGTTAGTACTTAAAATTTCCCTCGACTGGGCTGGAGAGATGGCTCAGTTAAGAGCACTGGTTGCTCTTGTAGAGGACCCGGGTTCAATTCCCAACACCCATATGGCAGCTAATGCCTGTAACCCCAGGTCCAGGGGAGTCCAGTGCCCTCTTCTGACTGAGCATCGTGTGACACGAGTGCACAGGCAACAACATTCATACACATAGAAATAAAATTTTCACTCAACTTTGAAGTCTGGAAAATGCACCATTACAATGGTGAGGCTATAAGTTTGTCCAATTTGAAGTCGATTTGAAGATAACCATAAAAAGGTTATAGGTCCTTTCCTGTATGTCCACATGTTACTCTCAGTGAAAACTGGGGGTTGGGGATTAGACTATGGTTCACTTATGTTCATATATTTTGCTGCTACTTTAAATGTTTGCAGAAAAGGGAATTTTTGCTCCTTTAACAAATGGAGAAAGTATTATACAAACAATAAGCTATAACTTTTTAAAGTTTTTAAGAAATTATTTTATGTGTATGAGTGTATCGCCTGCATGTGAGCGCACCTGTGTCGTGCAGTGCTGCGGAGGACAGAAGAGGGATTTGGATTCCCCTGGAACTGGCGTTAAGGACAGTTCGTCGCTGCCATGTGGGTGCTGGGAATCGAACCCAGGTCCTGTGCAAGAGCAGTCAGTGCTCTCAACTGCTGAGCCATCTCTCCAGCCCCTAATTGTTAAAATTTATGTGTGTTTTGCTTGCATGTATGTAAGTGCACCGTGTTGTGCAGTGCTAATGGAGGACTGAAGAGGGCATCAGATCTGGAACTGGAAGGTTTGTCAGCTACCATGTGGGTGCTGAGAATTGTACCCAGGTCCTCTACAAGAGTAATCAGTGCTCTGAACCACTGAGACATCTCTTCAGCCCGCCCCTCTTTCATTGTTTAAGACACGGTTTTACTATGTAAAACCTCGGACTCTTAGCAGTCATCCTGTCTCAGTCTTAAACATGCTAGGATTACAGGTGTGAACTACCATGTTCTTTTAGGAAAATGAAAAATATTAAAAAGGACAAATTATTAATAGAAGTTGTTTCTGGGTAATAGAGTATTGTACTGTTTATGCTTCTCTTCAGCTTCTAGATTGACCATAGGGTGAAAAATGTATAATAAAAAAATAACCCATTTTTAAGTACAGGCTTTATTGCTCGGGGTGGCCTGGACAGGGTAGCTGGCAGCCTCCTGTTCTGGAAGGGTCTCTAAGCTCTCTTTACTGCCTGTGATGTGTTGATGTATCTTCTGGCAGCTGAGAAATCTTACTGGTAAAGCAACCTTCCCAAGTCATCACCAGCTTAAGCCAGGTGTGGTGGGACATGCCTTTAATCCCATGAGACAGAAATAGGAGGATGTCTGTGAGATCAAGGCTGTGCTCAGGCTGTGAGTTACAGGCCATTGTGTCTACAGGAAGATCCAGTGTCTAAAAAACAAAAGGGAACAGAAAAGGCGTAACCAACTTGAACATATTCTCAGCCTTGTAAGTGAAGACTAGAGATAATTAACTGATGGTGTGTAGGGAATCTTGGCCTAAAACTTGGAGAACCTAGACTCAGTGCAGTGTGGTCTCAGCCCAAGTTCTCTCTAAACAACTGCTTGTATCTGATTGGCAGAGCTGCTCTGGGTGATTAAGTGAAATAACAGATAATGCCTTGATATTTCCTTCATATTTCTTTGGGGAAATTCCTGCCTATATAATTACAACTGGTTTTCTCGTCTCCTGCCCAAAGCTGGAAATACAACTTGTCCGGTATTTTGCAGTCAAGGTGCATTTAGGAGTAGAGATTTTTTTCTATAAGCCCACCTCAGATCAATTAAATCTGCCAGCGGGGTTAGGGTAAGTTCCTGAAGTGAAGCTCAGTGTGTAGCCAGGGAGCAAACCCCTGTGGAACTTGACTGGGTCTTCAGCAGACCTCAGCTGTGGGCG